CGACAATCGCGGAGACCTTGAGACCGCTGGAAAAAGCCAGACAAACGAATTAGACGGGAAGGTAATTTTGCATGAAACAGCGAGAAGCAGAGGGAGAAAAATTAGCGACATTGTTCCCTGCCGGATGAGCGAAGGGAAAAAGACTATCGCTCGTTTGTTAATCAAACAAGGCAGTGATCCGCGCGTGGAGCCTGAAAGGATCGCTCGCCGTAGCGACCGCGGAGATTTTCTATTTCGTCGTGTCAAAGAAAACGAGTCGACATCGAGGGAACCGAGTGAGTACGTCTGCGAATTAGCTAGCAGCTCGGGCACTTTGTGCAGAGTTACTTTCCCATTCCCTTTGCTCCCTTCTGCCTTTTGCACGGTCGCTGCCCCTCAATGCGACTGCACCCGTCCACGGAGTACATACCGCGGCACGTTCCTCCATTATTCATGACATTATTTTCCACTTCGATAACTAACGCGATCGACTTTACGGGAATTCTGCGGCTCGCAAATCCGTCCGCGGTCCGGCTCGCCTGAAAAATTTATACCGATTCGATGTACTTCCTTTTCGCAGCTTCGCAAATACCAAGGATCGCATGAGTTACGAGGATGTTTCCGTTCGCCAGGATGAGACCGTCGACCTCCGGCAATTCCTTCGCGATTTTAATTACACGCGACCCCGATAATCCGTTTCGTCGCGAACGTAACCAAAGGCGAGGCAGACTCGAAAAATGGGAAAAGGCCAGTTTAATCGCGTAACGAAGAATGATTGAAAAAATGAGAGAGAATCGAGGATAATAGGAGGAATTACCGACGTATTCGTAGAGTCCGGGCTTTATAATTCGACGAGATTGGATCGAATGACGGGACGAGGACGGTCTTATGGTTCTGGAACAAATGCGCGATGCGCTCGAACGAAAGCCTTAAAAGTCGCTTCGAAATGGCAATAGTATTGAAACGGAGTGGACAACGCGGAAAACTTACGATATATGGCGGCTTAGGAAACCTCGAGCGAAAACGCGAATAGAAGCCATCCGCGGAAATTCATGGAAAACGCGCGTCACGATGTAACGTAATCAACAGACACGAATACGTGGTATGATGGAAAAAATGAGGTTAACTAATGGTCATCCACTGAGAGCATCCGTTGATGGCATAAAAGATTATCACGCGCCGCGAGTAATTATTATACCGCAAAATTAATGGTACGAGAGTACGGAATTTACAGATCGTTATATAATAATTTACGCACTTTTATACTTTGCTTTCAAGCATATTCTGCTTAATATTCGTTTAACGTCTACTTAATTTTACTTGTATACTCGTTAAAGTAATGTAGGATACCAAAAGAAATCGCGAATCGGCTATTGCCAAGAAAAACAAATTGTAAACCGATCGATATCTTCTAGAAGCAAGTCGAAAAGTTGTTCTATATAGCAAAATTAAGTTGCGTGACTCCTCTACGGGGAGGTGAAGCGTAGGTTAACCGTTTGAGTGCCATGCGGCGCGATCGCGCTTCTTCTATTTTGTGTCCAAAAGTGCCAGCGCTCTGAGCTGCGAAGCTGACAATCAGCGCGCTCGGTTGGTGAACGCGGAATATGAGAAGCGCTATCGCGCTGCTCGGCATTTTTGGACACGGAATATGACAAGCGCTATCGCGCCGCTTGGCAAATATCGATTGGGAAACAATAATGACCCGTGGCACTCAAACGGTTAAGGAAAGCATAAAAGCGTGGTCCTCGATAACCGAAACAGAGTCCTTAGAAATCGGTTGTGACCAGGACAAGCGTGAATCGCTTGGTGTTGGAAAAAGAATTTTAAAAGAATGCGTCCTTGTGCGCTTTCATTTCGTTATCTTGGTGTTCTTTTCCTAAGTTAAATCAGTTTACGAGTTTTGAGTTTGCGTTATCGTGTTCTTGTTCTTTCGTGAATTTTCGATGTCTCAAGACCAGTATTCGTCATCCTACAGTAACAATAATTATTCTCGTTAAGTTCGTCAACCATCTTCTTCTTTTAATAATTCAGCGATAAACGAACTTGCTATTTTTGTTTTCAAACCGCATGAAAAATTATTCTTCTCGTTAACCATAATTCGATCTTCGAAATTTAATTAATACAGGTGAAATTCATCGGGCTTCGAATAATTCAGCGGGTATTTGAAATGCAAAAAATTAGTAACTTCCGCCGCATTGAAGATTAAAGTTGGATAATTCTAGTTTCGAACAATCGACGGAACGGAGTGTAAAATAAAATCGAATTACACCATAGCTTGGACTAAAATTTTGTAAATCTGATTAACCAACTTTCAAGTTCATAGCGCACCATGTAGTATAAAATTCATTGGTATGAATTCGTCTGCGTTAATTAACGAAGCGTAACGAGTGCAGTGTTCGTAACTAGTTATAAGTACCGTCGGTTCGGCAGTCTGAACGGGCTTCATCCGATTTGTGTCTGTTGGCAATTATCAGAGAAGCGTATCAGAAATCCCATTGAATGGCAAACCGCGTTTCCCATATGAGGAAAATAGTCAGACACGTTCCATAATTTTATTTAACTCTCTTGGCCAATTATTCGCGAGCAAACTTCGTCTTCGTCTTTGTATAAAAATTTCAATCCCGCGTTATATATCGTTAACACTAGGTACATTATTCCATAAACCTTTCTTCGTGCGGAAGGAAATTACCATCATTTCGTATTAAAAATACCAACATTATTCCCCGATCTACCTAACGTATTCCACTTCTATAATGTCAGAGTTAATGTCTCGAATATGAAATGAAAAAAAAAAAAAAAAGAAAAAAATGGCGGAACCAACTGGCAATAAATTTAGACTTGGCCGAGTCTCGTAAAGTTTAAAATTACCGCTTAATCGATAGAACAAAAAGGACAGAGGTCGCGAGAGGATAGAAAAATGAATCGACTATACGTCTGACTGGACCTATGGTTTCATTTTTTATTTCCATCGAACAATTAAAGTCTTCCCTTGCCGAAGGAACCATCGGTGTTATCCACGACGGTAAATATCACGGTGGAAGTTTATTCTTCGGTAACAATTCCTTTTCCTTCGGTTTGCCTTTCTCCCATTCTATCTTTTTCGCATTCTATCCGCGCACAACTCTCGGCAACGGCGACAGGAAAGAGTCTCGCTTCAGACGAGAACCACACGCGAAGGAATCTTCCGGTGCGCGCACTTATATGCAGGAATAACCGAACAGGGCACTGAACATCGCATTCTCGAATGGAAATCCTGAAACCGAACCACGGCCGGTTTATTATTCCAGGAAACGATTATATCGGCACGATGAACTTTTACAGACTCGCATCGCCGACCAAAGTGCAGTTATATAATGTTTAGGTGCGCCATAATTATGTGCTTTGCTGGTTCCGCGTAGTTATATGATCGTGGAAATTCCAATAACACCGCTTATTAAACGTATTACACAATGAAGCTGTATAAATAATATAGCGCACAGTGTAACCGTGCAAGTCGAAATTTATGCTATTAATATTAATAACGATTAGAGAATTACCCATGGAATTTTGCGTAACGCGATAATTAATTAACTCGAAGTCAGCCAGTAGAGGGTAACCGACACTCTGGTTAATCCGTTACGAAGAAATAACAAAATCGATTATAAAAGAGGCAAGTCGGGAACAATGCCGGCAATTCGATTGAATTTTGCTGCAGTTAATCGATTGTTCGTAATTTGGAAGATGTTCGGTGTTGGTGCATTAAAAATTCAATTATCCGCTCGAGTAGGTACGCAGTGGTGGAAAACGTTACGAATCGCGCGAACAGTAAAAAATTAAACCAGCACCGATTTGATCGACGCACAAGTCCGACTTTTCAATAACGTGCAGGAAAATCTGTTTCTGACGCGTTTGAACTATGCAACGTGGATTTAAATAGATGATAGAGATAAAACGTAAATGGATCTAAACAACTGTCGGCGTTAAAATGGAACGGCGAAAAATACCGAACAATATCTGTGACGGCGAGTTTAATCAAATTTTTCGGCAAAAAGGAAAGGGTAAAATGAAAACGGATATCGAGGATTAAAAATGAGACTTCGAAATCGAATTCTATTAAGAAAGGGATTAAATTGTAGCGTTATAAAGCTTCAATCTGCGATATCTCGTTGCTCGGGGAAAAAGTGTTGCCGAACGTATTTTTCCTGGGAACGTGTTTTTCATTTCAAACGCGTACTGTGCACACAGCACGCCGCGCGTATACACGTACAATCGTTCGATAACCACCCTAAATGTCAAGTAAATATCGAATAATGAATAATACATTGCCGCGGGTGTTTAATCTCAATATTAAACTGCAATTAAATATTGAACAACCCGCGTTACGATGTATGGAAACCAATGCGGCCTTCCATATTTATATATTTACAGTAGCGACGAATAAGCCTGTGCTAGAAATATTTCGCACGGAACAAAATTTTTCGCCAATTCCATACCCCGTGCGAGATTTTCCCTGCGCGTGGAATTTTTCCGCGGCCATAGGTGGAGCACTAAGAGACAGAGAGATACCGTAAAAAGCGAACGACGGAATCACAGATGCGAAAGCCGTGGATGCATCGTCGATCTGATATGCTACGATGATGCGACGAATCAACCGAATATAAATTCGCGCTTTGCCGACAGGGGGGCTCAGGTCCGAGCGAGTAAACGCGATATAAACGCTGATTCCACGGTACCGCGGTTCTTGCACGCGTAAATCTCACGATTTACGAGCGTAGCCGGGCAACGAGTTTGAGAAAAAGATGGTCAAAGTGACTGGAGAAGCATACCGGCGCGCATTCGCGCGAGATATCGACGCTGATCGCATTCTTGCTTTTCCCGGTGAATTCCGTAGTAGGAAAATTAGATTTCCCTTCTCTCTGCGTCAACCATCCCGGAAAGGACTGGGAATATATAGAAAGGCCGGGATAAAGAACGACGAAAGGGATTGCAAATTTGAGCGAATTAAATTAAGACGACGTTCCCCGTCTTTCTGCTTTTTTCAGACGACGAGAACTCGTCGGTGCATGGGATCGTGACGGCGGAAGGACTGTTCGATGGGACCATCTCGACGGCATCCGACGAGATCTACATCGAGCCAGCCAGCAGATACGCTCCTCTCGTCTGCCATCGGCAAGATGGCGGAGATAAAGGCACGACAGACGCTATGCATCACCATACGATCGCTTACCGCTCAGTGGACGTGAGCGTTCCTCTCAGCAATGGATATCCGTGTGCCAGCGAGCTCCTGCGAGAGAACATGTTAAACGAATTAAGGTAAACACGTTCCGAACTACTGTTTGCCGTTAAGCTAATTATTTCGGGGTAACAGTGGAACAGGGAAAATACGCTGCGCGTGTGCCAGGGGGCTCGAGGATAGGGGGCTAATCGAATAAAATTAGTTATTTAATCGCTCGTTTATTCCTTTGCATTATACAAGAATAAATTGAATTTAATGTTCGCCGCCGAATTTAACCCCGCTATCGCGCTTGATACAGCTTAGCGTGCAATTTGGATGTATAATATCTTCCCGTATGATCTAACGCATTCAATATTCCGGGTACAAACTTAATATCGACCCGACAGCATGGTATCCGCCGACCGGTTTAATAGAATTTCCGATGCCACTGTAAAGACGGTTAACTCTACGAGATGTCACGCATTCCAGTTTTACCTCGAGATCGCGATAGTTACCGTTCGAAGCGTCGCGTCACGAATCGAAGTTAACGAAATTAGTAGGGATGCTATGCGATTCGCCGGGGGTTGCAAGGGACACCGATCATTTCCCCGACACATGCGCGTCGAGCTGCAGCCGCGATTACAGAGAGAACGCATTTTGCGGGAAAATCGAGGTAGACGGAGGTGATTCGAACCAGTTCTTGCATCGATTAGTGATAATCGCCGCTAACGTCGGGTTGACACGTCAGGCTAACGCGCGGAAAGAATACTGGACCGAAAAATGGCGGGTCGCGAGTTGTTCCAATTACTACGGATCGGGGTAAATAGCTGGGTCACGCTCGAGACGCGTAAACTTTCGTATCAAACGATTCTAATGGCTTCCACGCGATTTCCCGTGGCTAACGGACGAAAGCCTTTAAAGGCTTATCAAAAGGATAAGTTTCGCCCCGTAACAGTGGCGCGGGCTCATTGGTTATTCGAGTCAGCGCGCATGGAAAGAATTCCAGGCAATCTTTCTATCTGCGCGCAACAACCTATCGTTTCTACTTTATACCGGGCCCGGCGGAGCCGCGTGGCGGCCACCCCTAAATACTTTTAAACGCTCGTATCACCTGCAACTCGAATATTCGAAATCGCGTCACGCGCTACGCGAGGAATTAAACGAATACGGTAAAAAACCTATAAAACTGCGCCGGTGTATAAAAGACTCGTAAAAACGGAACGTAGAGAACATACTGGAAAAAGGAGGCGGAAAGGGAAAAGAAGAAAGAGGGGGTAAAAAAAAAAAAACGGTTAAGGGAATTTGACGAATTTTTCCACGAATCCTCCCACTCCGCACATCGTACACGCACACACACGCACACACACGCACACACACATGCATACGGGGGTGTAGTCGGAGAGAAGGCGTGAGATTCGAGAGAAGGCCCGGTGGAAACGATCCTCGAAGTAAATTGGCTCGAAGCCTGTTACGTATTACTCGACATATGTCACCCTTATCTCCTTGCCGCACCCCGACGATTTCTCTCGTTTATCCCCGGCCAGCGGAGTTGATCAGTTCAGCATGAGGGATTCGCTGGCGCGCTGTAGTTTTCCGAACGCTTACCGGCGAAAAATCGTTTGCAGGACGAACAGGACGTGGAGTGGATATCTCGGGGACACAATGCGGCCGCTTTATCAACACCTGAACGAGGGAAAGTCCCGCGCCAAGCCGGGCTTCTATCCGAAAGACGTCAGGAAGAAAGACCCCATGGCGAGCTCGCACAATTTAGAGCTGCTCGACAGGTAACCTCTCTCATCGAATCTTTTTTCCTCGCTCCGAGATTCGACCAACGAGACAACGAGTAATCGAGATTCGAGAAAGCTTCGGGGCCCCGATGTATTCGCGTTCGCTCCCTATGATCACCCTTCGAACAGCGAACGGCCTGACTCTGGCCGACTAATACGGCGCGTTACCACTTGCTCGGGAAAACCGGCGTCGTTCTACTTGCCAGACCGCAACCATCTCGTCTCATTCTCGCGTCCAGCCGATAAGTCGCGTTTTGGAAAAGAGGCCAAGCGTCTTCGTGCAACTAATTGAAATCCCCCTGCCTCCTTTTACGCGAGCGACTGGAAGTTGTAAAAAATAAAAAGTTATACAGGCTGTAAAAGTTTTACACGGTCGTTCGTTCTCGATCACCGATCCCCGTCCCCACCAGTGTTACGCCATTGCCCGACCTATTCGGCTCCTTTCTTCCATCCCGGTCGTGTTCAACGTTTCCACTCCGGTTCCATTTAGCCCGTCTCGGTGAACACGTCGATGAAATATTCTAGCAGGTGCTTGGAAGCCAGCGGTCCAGGAAAGGAAGTTGCCGTAGCCGGGGGAAGAAAAGCGCAACGGTTACTTATCGTCCCGTCGATTCTTCCCCCGGACTGTTTGCCGTGCAATGCTTGCTCTTCCATTTAAAGAGCATACCCATTTCCGACAGAGAAAAGCCAGGCTATCCGACATCGCGGCGGCGCATAGCGATGAAAACGTCAAAAATCGAGAGCAAACACCATTATCGACCGATCCAATTTAAACGTTGCCGCGACCGAGTTATCCTTATCGGACGTTTTCGCGATCGGCTCTTTTCAGGTGCTAGGTTTGATTTGTTGTTCGAGTGCGGATCACGTATATCGGCCGGATCGACTCCCGTGACGTCGAAATCCTCCTCTTTTTACAGCCCGCCAACCGTTCGAATATGTACCGTTGAAACCGGAAATTCCGCGTCCGCCTTTAAACTCGATAACGAAGTTATCTCGTTCGGCGAGGCGTGTATGCGGCGAGGTTAGGAATTTAAAAAATTTGATTTCCGAAAGAGGAACGCGAAAGGTGGACGTGGAATACGCGCGAAATGAAATAAACGAAAATTTGAGATTGCACCGGCGACGATCGATGCTCGTTTGCCGGCGTACAAACGAGAAAAAGCGATCGAGTTAACGGCAATGGCGCTTCTGTGTACCTCCGATTCAATTTTTCCGAATCTTCCCGCTGCCACGCTGACCCGCAGGTACATCCTAAAAGCAAATTTATTCCGAACAGATTGTACAGGGAACGATACTCGAGAGTGCTTCGCAAGCGAACCTCCGTGGACCCGAAGAAGACCACTTGCATGTTGTACTTGCAAGCGGATCACACGTTCTACGATCATTACAAGTCCGAAGAGGCCAGCATCGAGGTGATGACTCGTCACGTGCAGCGTGTCAACTTCATCTATAGGTACACCGGTAAGATATCCGAGCATTGAGTTACGCATATTTTACTCGTCGATACGTAATTCGACGGAACGTCTATAATATCGGTCGCAGGAAGTATCAGGACAGCAATGAAAATTCTTTCGTCTTTCCGGCGTAGCAATCGGCAACGTTTCCTCCCGAACTAACAAGTGCGCGTCTTCTGTCTCATTCCGCTGTAATAACTTCGCAAACCAATTAAAACTTTCCCGGACCTTCCAGTTAAACTAACTTTCTGCCAGCGGCGATCGGGGGAAATGAATGTTCCTTAGCCTTACTGCGGTTCCTTTCTGCGCTGCGACCGATTAATGTCAGTTTCTGTGTCTGACGTTGACCGATTGATTTCGCGGAACTTTATTGCGCCGGTACACACGCCTAATGCGTAAACTTTGAACGATGGTTATCAAGGAAGAACGGGAAAAGGAAACGAATTTGGAAGGGGGGCAGCACCGAGTGAAATTGCTTTTGTTGTACTCCTTCGAACGGAGACGGAAGTGTCGCTGTCCGGACACGTGCTCTCGGTCGAAAAACTTTCTTCGGAAACAGAATATTATTATCCCTGTTTGCCGGGTACGCTTATCTCGACGTTCCACCCGATTCGATTTCGCCGTTCCTCGATTATCATTTTCCTCGCTTCGCCCCTTTCGAAACGTTCGCCAAGCCCGGAAATTACCCTCGCGAATTATACCATCTGCCGTTTAATTGAATTATGTCATCAACCCCGAGTCCAACCGAGAAACAATCAGCCTCATCGATAGTCCCGCCGAATGCGGGCGAACAAAGCTGCGCAAATCAGAGGAAAGCGTTCCTGAAAATCTCATTTGGCTAGCGCGGCTCGCGAATATTAAGTAAGAGCGGACACGGGCAAGCATGGCGAGCCAGCTCGTACGGGCAGAAGGGCTTTAAACGTCGCACCACCTGCCGTAACAACGAGCAAATATTTGTGTCTCGTGACTGAGCCGTGTTTAACGTAGCGTGACCGCGCCTACACGCGGACCGGGCTAGTGCATTACTTAGAATTCCCTATCTCTTCCGTCGTGCGATTCGCGGATAAAGCTGGTTTTCCGGTGACGTTTCCGTCTTCCTCTCCTTCCCTCTACTTCCCACCCTCCCTTTCTCGCTCCCCCTTTCTCTCTCTCTCTCTCTCTCTCTCGTACCTTCTGTCGGAATATACACCGCGAGCTGGGATGCGTCGATCTTCCGGAACGATGGTCGCACGATTATCGGCCATCTCTACACGCGAGCATTTCGGATGACCGATCGACCACCCCTCGGAAATGCCAGCCCGAACGTGCCTCCCTTTGTCCCCGGATTAGACGGCATTAACTCTCTTCCCATCGCGATATGTACAACCCGGCCGCCTAGCTAAACGCTCTTGTCCGACGAGAGATCCGCAATTGCCACGATTAAGGATTGCCCCTGTCTCTCTTGCCTAGCGATCTCGTGTTCCCCGATTACTTGCCCGTGATTTTGCACCGACCCGTGACTTCCTACCCGCGGCCAACTATTGTCTCCACGCTGACGTCGCAATCTTTCAAAATTTATACTCGCCCGATCCACTTTGTCCGCCCGACGGGCGCAATGAACTCGCCGCGTAAACGCTATGGTCGCCGCGTATAACGCTGGCCCGGTCTTATTGCGGTTGGAAAAGGTAACGCGATAACGGTATCGCGACGGTGATATCGGGCGAAGGTGGAACTTGCAATGTTAGTCATTACACGTGAAACGCCTGGGAAACCCCGTCCACCGCCTCGTATACGATCCTTATCTTCGGGCTCACGTAAAAAAAACTTTATTTCCGAGCGGCGTATCCGAGACAGCTGTCACGCGACGCGTTACCCCTCTATTTGTTTGCCAAGTAATTTTTTACGACATCGGAACGCGAACCGGCAACTTTGTAACACGAGTCTCACGTGACGATGGCCTTTTAGTTATTCAATAATAAGCACCGGCAGTTTCCGTTTCTCTGTCCTTTATTTCCCCTCCGTATTTGATCTCGCACTCGTTTGAGACGTGCCAAGAGATAGCTGCAAGCGCCAAGACAACCGGTTTGAAGTTTCTTCGAGAAAGCAGTCTCTGTTCCACGCATCTGTGCAGCACCCGAGTTTCCGCAGGTCTGGTTAAAGACCGATTCATTCTACTTATTTCTGTACAACTTATCCAACCACTCTCTCTCTCTCTCTCTCTCTGCCTCTTGGAAAGAGCTTGTCTCGGGTATAGTACCAGACCTAGCAGTTATTCTACCAGTTATTCTACTTAGTCTGCGAGGATATAGTTCTACCAAATAATAGTCTCCACGGTTGCACGGTTCCAAGTGACCATTCAACTTCTGCGAACTTTCGCTTTTCTCGTGCTATGCTGCTTTTCACACATTTTTGTGGCATCGCTGGTATTTCCTCTGATACGTATAACCTCGTGTTGTTCCTTCAGCGTTGAAATTTCGTTTTTGGCGGTATCCTCGCGGTCTATTCTCTCCTCGTTAGCGAACACAGAGGCTTTATTTTTTGGAATTCTTGAAATACTCCTTTGTTACTCGAATTCGCTTTTTCCCAGCGTTCTCGCGATACTCGCGTAACTTCTTTTATGTAAATCGCATTGTTTTCTATTGCTGCAATTTCTACTTCCTCGGAAAGTTGATTTCTCTCTTTACTGGAACTGCTCCTAGAATTTCTCCATGGCACCGTTACGACCTCGCATGTGGAAATCTTTTCAAGTCGCAATTTCGCAGCATACAGTATATACGTGTATATATATATCCCAGGTGTGGCATCGTGGGAAGAAAGCGCTTGGAAGTAGTTGGACCCGGAAGGAAACACCTAGAGTCCACTACCGTAGTCAGCTTGTCGTCAGGAACGATTTTACAGAAAATGACCACGAGTGACCACTGACTGACCACTAGTGACACCACAGAGTGGACGTCGGCCGCGCTTGGTAGCCGACCAAGAGGCAGTTGTATAACGTTCGCGTGTAACGCGTGGAAATCGAAAATGGTGGAAATAAATTCGAATCTCTGTTAAAAGTGTCGCCGCTAGCCAACTCGTCCTTTCGCCAACTCTGACGAGAGACATTTAACGCGGAACAGTGTCTGGTTGCCGACAACATGGTTGCTATACCTTTCTACTCGAAACGAGTATTCTCAAATGAGCTATATGCGCGTGGTGGTGCAAGCCTCAGCGAGTTCAGTGCCTCTGCATCAGTCGATATCGATGCTCCGGGCTTCAATTTAGAATCTCCTTGCATCGTACATCGCACGACCACCATCTATCTTGCATTAACTTCTTTTGTTCGAGAAATTATAGCGAAACGGAGCCGCGCATCTTCTCGCGAGTACATTGGTGTAACGTGACACTTACATCCGCTGGGAACCTGCAACTTCGTGCGAAGGCGCACGCACAGAAGTATGACGGCGTATGAATGTTTCAGTCTCTCTACCTTGAACTTCCTTGCGTTCACTCATACTTGGCCATTTCCGAGCATAGCATTTGCATTATTTAGCTGTTCAAGAAGCCTTTCCTTGAAATTGAACACGCTACCCGGCATGTTTTAGGCAACACAGTCACCGTGCGCGCGAGCAAAGCTGATTAATGCAGCAACAAACTTCGATACAATGGACTTAACGTTAATTACCAACGGCACATGTGCATTACACGCGAGATATGGATGTAACGAAGCTGACGTATGCGACGTTCACGGAACTCTGTCATTTACGCTAATCGGAAAACCTCGCGACTGCTTTCGAATCGCCGATGCCTATGATATTTAATACCGAGAGTTAGGCAATTTCGGTTACACTGACAAATCTCCACGAAATGAAATTACTTTAGAGCTGTAACTCGTCGCAACATTGGAATAATTCGTAATAACGCGGAATCGAAAAGATCCGCCGTAGGTTCGTTTCACGGTTGAAAAATCATGGGATTCAACGGCGGGAAGGAATCGTGATCGCGTGTCACGGGGCCGTTTTTCCAGTTTCGATTGGTATTCCCGCGGAGAAGGTGTTTGATTAAATGCTTTCCACCACGCGACGGCCGAACCGTTCCGGAATACACTGATCACCGAGGGAACCCGAAAATTACTTGTCTGGAGCCCCAGTGATTTTCGTTATCAGCTATCGGTTACCTCGATGAGTAGTTCCTCTCGACTCGTATGAATTTCACAGTACCCGCGTCTAGCTCGCAAGCTCGCCCTGATACGTGGCACGATATAGAACTTGCATGCTTTCTCGAACCCCTGTCTGTCAGTTCGTAACGCGTTCCTGTCGTTTTACAGATTTTAACCAGGACGGCCAGCCAGACAACATTAGCTTCATGATAAAGCGCGTGAAAGTCCATGGCGAAGACGCACCGAACGACTCGGGCTACCGGTTCACCGGTACTTACGGGGTCGAGGAATTCCTCGAGCTCTTCTCCGGTAAGTAGACCATTACGTTTCCCTCTTCCAGACTCCAACATCGATTACCCATTCAACCCGATAATTTTCGTAATTCTGTAACATCTATTTGGTTTTCAACGCTTTTATAACTATGATTTCATAACGGGCCAGAGCCACGTTTTCGTTGAAAAATGAAGCTAATTAAAGAAACTCGCTCGAGCTAATAGATGATTGCAAAGATTCGACCAATGTATCGCGACACACTGGACTTTTTTCAACGTATATAGCTGCACCATTGGTTCGTTAATTAAAGCGCTCGTTTGCAACGAATTTGCGTGAAATCATCGACAACGAGAGTCGATAAAGCACGTCATGTAACGATTTTTCAGCTCTAATGAAACGTCTCGTGTCGTTCACCCTGACACCGGCAGCCATCGTGGGTCACAGGGCGTTCGTTATGCGTCGCAAACTTGCCCTGTGCCGTGACTTTAAAGCATCCGCGGTTACGTCGGTAGCTGTTATCTAATACCATAGTTAATAAGCACGCGAGACGGTTAGATTACGCAGATGAAAGCGTACACGCGATGCTGCGGGAAAGAAGTGGCCGATCATTCCTACAGGATGCCACTGCGACTGGTCGATTAATCGTCTGGGGTTTCCTCTTCCTCGGTTTCTCGCCCCTCTTCGTCAACTTGCCCTCCGAAAACGTCGAAGAGACGCAACGGTTCCTCCGTGCTTTTGATTTATACCCGGAATCCAGCTTTCCCCGGCTTTTCGACTACCGTTTCCACGCTCGTTCGAAGAACTCGTCGGGAGAACTTTGATCTATCCGTTTTGCCCTGGAAGTGTCCGTATTCGCGGGGATCCCTGACCCTCGGGCAGAGGTTATCGCTTCATCGGTTAACATTTGGCCAAGGATACCCTAATATCTCGAACGTGCTATCTCGTTGGCGAAGTCCAGCCATTCCAGTCGATTAATTCGCGTTCAGACGTCGCGCAGCAACAACTGACAGAGGTAGCCAAGAAACTGTATCGCATTAAAGTTTCCACCGAACGAAGTTAAAGTTCCCGAACAGCCGGGATTAATTATTACCGAGCCACATCTCCGACGGCAACGAGTCGCAGATCGATGTGGTCGGAATTTCCCAAGTTAGGATCATTGAAACCATGATATATACAGTTGCTTTCGACGTTCCCTCGGACTGATTTAAGCCAGCACTTTGTCTCAATCCGTCTATAGGGCACATGCTTCTGGAGACAGAAACCGTGCATATTTCTCTGCCACGGCCTGTCTACCTAACTTTGTCTCTCCGCATAGTTGGACGAAAGATTAACTAAAGGACAACCATCTTCCCGCTTCTTAGCCGAATAATCGGCCAAACGTTTCCACCGCGGGTTGCACGTTGAATTCGAATCTACCGTTCCTGGTTAAATAACCGTTGTCAAACTTTTGATTAAAAATTCTGCATTTCACGTTGCTACTTTCATCGGATGACACGACGACTTTTCGTTTATTATTGCTCACCGTGTATCGGCTATCAACTGCGCCCGGTTGCAAAAAATATGGTTTATATTTATGGATCGGTTCTGTAAAAATAGCTATACACGAATCGCCGATAGGTTTAGCGTTAATCCATCAGTCGCGGTTTCGTTTTTTCGTTTTCACGGCAACGATTTCGTTCGATTCGGTTAATACTGACTACGTCGTTACTCTCGCGCGAGTTTTCGCTTGCAAAGGCACGAATCGCGATGTCGATTGCTATTTTAGGGGCCACAAAATTTGTCAAAATACGATCGCGTCGGTTTTGCTAGAGGTTAATTGTTCTATACGCGTTGTCGTTCGCATTACACTTAACGATGACATTCTTCCAGATTAAAATTGAAAGCCGATTCATACTTATCATCGATACTCAATTACGCCGCTCAATTTGTCGATACTATAATTACGTCGTATCGATGTTGCGCATTATGAATTGTATTAAAACGCTAATGTGAATTACGCCTAGCGCGTCGATGTATCCCGCGATGCGTTTGAATTTCAGTTGTCTGCCATAATTGCGCAATTTTCGCCGAAATGTTTGCAGTTAGCGCGGTAATTAATAAGCAAGATTGCGCGATTACTGCGCGCCCGTGATTTCGCCACCGAAATCTTTTTTTCTTCCTACCAAATCCGTGAATCAACGTCGAACACGCGATAGACTGACAGCGTGTCGCCTTTGTTTGCGTGTAAATTATTTCAGCCAAGCGTGTTTGTCTCGAAGGATAATTCTATTACACCATCAGACCCGAGACAAAGAAATTTTTCTGCTATTCGTTCTTCCTGGATCAATTTTAAATCTACCAAATTCGATTTGACGAATCGAGACTAGAGTCTACGCGATGCTTGTTCTGTTTTTATATATCTGACAGTCCTTTGACCCTCTTCTGCTTGATAAATTTCGAAAGAACCCGTTGTATTCCCGTCTAGTTAAAAATACACTTGCTCCGCCTGACAGATTTGCCGCAGTGTTTACTTAATAGAACCTACGAATAGGTTTTCCGACGAGCTAGCAATTGAGTAAAGAATAATAGTCTTCGAAATATCTCCGTACGATTTTAAAATTGGAAAGCTCCCGTGTCGCTTCGAGCACGCTTAAATACCAATCGACGAGGTTTTTACGTTCGTCGGCGGGGGATGAAAATATCTTGACGAGTTTCGCCGTCGATTTCAGAAGATGGCTGATAATCTATTTTTTCCACGGGTCGCTCTTTAATGGCTGGGAAACCGGATCGACGGAGATAAGTACAGCAGCTCGTTACGCGAGATATCGAATATCGGAATGCGAGGCTCGATAATTCCCGACAGAGCCTCGCGGCCACTTCATTGCCACTGATCTAGCAAAGTCATAGTTCGCCTCGAAATTTTCGCTCGGCCTTTATCGGGGGTTGAAATTGAAAAAGATACTCTCGTTATACCCGCGTCGCAAAAACTCCGAATTATTGGAGCAAGAAGAGGGAGGAAAAAAGAACTCTCTCGACCAATTTCGATCGACCCGCAAGCAAACATCCAATTGAACGCATACCGAGTTCTTTGAGAAATTACCTCTGCATATTTACGCGAGGAAAGTCACGAGCCGGTGCAATTTTGAGAACGTCTGTTCTCGCGTCTCATCGAGCTTCGTGCACAGAGGATACTCGGCCTCTGGAAAATGAAACAAATTCCGGAATTTTTTAATTTTTAAATTCGGAAATTCCTTGCACGCGCACACACGGCGAGAGAAAATTATAGTTCCCTCCGAAATGTTTGCCCAATCTGTTCCTGCATGGGTCGAAATCGAAAAACATACTCTCGTTATAGCAACGACGCGAGAAATCCGAATAAAATAAGGGAAAAAATCGAGTAATTTGATGGACTCGCGATTTCACGTAGAATTGAATACACGAGTGATCACCGGTTCCGCGGTTAGGTTTTCGCGAGCAGTATTGCAACGAAAATACTCGACGGGCTCTCGTAACCCCTTTGTAGATCTGCATGCAGATGGAAACGGGCGCAGAGATCGCAGGCGCCACTTCACGCAGGCACTTTTGTCGCGTGTCACGATAATGTAACTTCGTTTCACGTTGCACAGGCGACAGGTACAATAGCGTCTCGTCAGAGGAGCGACTGTCGCCTTCGGACTAGTATTTCGCTTCATATTTCGCCGACATAATAACGACCAGAGCCGTTATTAAATAACAGCTACTCGTTGTTGGAACACGTTCCGAGTACTCCGACTGCCTTCGCGCGGAGCTCTGTGCACGTTTCCGGCCGTGAAATTAGCCGGTTGACGGGAATCGAAGATACGGGAGGGGACGACAACGGGAGGCACGAAATAATTGACCAAGAGAGACGACAGCCGTCGAGGGTTTTTTCCAGGGAGCTGCAGCCAACGGCATGTCTCATTTCGGAGGGTAATGAATCGAAATCGAGGGTAGTCGCGGGGTCGTGGCACGGTGAGCAGACCGTGGTACAATAGCTGATGTAGCAGGGATCGGGAAATACAAGCGAGCAGCGGCGGACCATGACGTATTTGCCGCGGGCATGCAGTAACCAAATATGCCTCCTGAGACACACCACACCGCAAACACGTATCCCGCGTTCTGTTCTCTTCCGCCGCAAAAAGCCGCTGCCGTGCATTCGGATTGCAAAAAGCACGGCGCAAAGAACGGGCTGTTCTCCCCGTGATCCGTTGCACTTTTCCGCCCGACCGGCCGGACACTTGGCGTTTCCGGTATCGATCCCGTGAACGACGATCGGTCCGGCGTACGTTATCTAGCCTCGACTCTAAATCAATTTCGTTTGCCGTTAATCTGTCACGGAGGAATTAACGGATGAAATTCTACGTTGTTGTAGTGGCAACAGCGTTGGAATTCGTTGCATCCAATCAAGAACGTCGTGTCCCGCACCGGTATTTCCGGGCGACGCGACGCAGGCGAATGGCCGTCCTTCGCAGCCTTTTAATTAATTTCGTTTTTAATTTGCCCACTGTCGTTGGCAGTATTTTACCTGGCTGGTTTCTGATGGCGCGCGAAAGGGATGGCGGCCGGTCGAAGGGCCAGCTGAATTCCCAGCCGACGCGGCCTGAACATCGGCCGAGATGTTATCCGGGAAAAATAATAAATCAGGCGTCCAGTATGTCCGGTAATTTAATTTCTGCCAACTTTTATGCCACGGCAACTTTCCTCCGTTGGGGATCGGTGTTCGGTGGTGGAGTATATGAAACGAGATGAAAAAATATGGAGAAAGAAAAGGGAAAATGGGGGGGAGGGGGAAAAAAAGGAAGGAGCCTGCTCGTCCCGGCCATTTCCACCCCTTTTGTTCGCCCTTCTCCTTCGCAGAATTTTTTCGTGGCACTTTGAAAAAGGACAGACAGGAAAGAACAGAAGGGTGAAACGAGCGATGAATACTCTATGAACGTCGTGCATGAATTTCAATGGAAAGGGTTGTTTACGGACGTCCAACGTGTGCTCGTCGCGTATCCACGGTGGTTGAAGGTCGGCTGCGCGTATTTCGCTGCTTCGCGGGGGTGGAATGTATTGTTACGCGTCGCGAGGAAGGTTAACGATCGTTGTAAATGAGAAGGAGAAACAAAGAACGATATCACGGTCCTCGAGATTGATTTTCCGCCCGAAACCTTTTACAGAGGAGGACTACGACGCCTTCTGCCTGTCGTACATGTTCACCTACCGTGACTTCGAGAAGGGAACACTGGGTCTAGCATGGACAGGAGATCTGAAAAACGCGGGCGGAGTTTGCGAGAAAAATGGGGTAAGTTTGGCTGGAATTTAACAAAACTAATTCGACCATGCCGTCCGAAATAACATCGTTCTACGCCGCATTCACGATACTCGGACAATTACCTCGAGAACTAACGCTATTTCGTCTTGCAGCACTACAGGGGTAGCATGAAATCGCTGAACACCGGTATAATCACCCTCCTGAACTACGGCAAACACGTACCACCGACGGTTTCTCACGTCACCCTCGCACACGAGATCGGTCACAACTTCGGATCCCCTGTAAGTTCAACGGCGCATCGGGTTTGCATGTTGTCGCCGCGTACACCGAATACATTCGAAAAGTTTCCAGGGTGGTTTGGAGACGTCGCGATCGAAGCAGTTGTGTTCCGTGCTACGCTTTCTCAGATTTCTCTCCTTTTTTTTTTCCCCCTCTTCTCCGCTCTATTTCCACGTTCGTGGCATCTCGCGTTAAGCGAAAGGCGTGGCAAAATTGCGTTTCTTTAATGGAAAAGACAAGGAGCGAGTTTCGTTGAAGGAAGGTGTTCGAGAAAGGAATTCGAGCAATGTCACGGGTAATTAAACGCCGAATCGTTTGAAAAGTTGCCGCTGCAAATTTACGCGAGAAAAGTTTCGAGTTGATGCAATTGCTCCTCCATGCAACGTCCACGGTCGCGTTTTCCCGAGCTTCGCGGCCAAACGGAGATCGAACCTTCGAAAATGGAGAAAAATATGAAGATTACGCGAACCTTTCAATTAAGAGAAATTGGAAAATTTCCCGGTATCGGTCGATGGTCGGTCGAGAGGAAAACGAGAGGACGGGGGATTTACCGCGACCGGTAAGCTCGGCGATGGCGACAAAGTAACCGCTTATATCCGGGACTACTTTCCGCGGGAAAGGTCGGAATATTTAATTCGCGCGACAACAGTTGCCGGGTGATTCAAAGGCTAAAAGCTCGGCAGCATCGGAGTTAATTACATCTTCTTTCTCGAGGGCGACACCATTCGCCGCATTACCCATGACGAATGATCCCGGGGAGCCTTCTAACGTTTTCTCTTCCCGTTAACGCGACAGCACGACCCCGACGAGTGCTCGCCCGGAGGAGAAGACGGAAATTTCATAATGTTCGCGAGAGCCACCAGCGGGGACAAACGAAACAACAATCGCTTCAGCCCGTGCAGCCTGGTCTCCATAAATCCCGTTCTAAATGCCAAGGCCCGCTCGTCCAAGGGATGCTTCGCCGGTGAGTAGAGAAGCTTTTGGAATTTTAATTAGTTTCGAACAGGGTCAACGGCTGGCCTCCTTCCAGTCATCAGCCCTGACCTCTTCTAAACCCTCGATCGCCTCCGTACACGATCGTTGTCTGAATTATTTATACAATCGTCAGCCGAAGCTGCTTACGGGATGCTCTGCTAATTACTCGTTAACGTGTTTCCCGTTGAATCTCTGCCGTTCGTGGATTCGCCGATTGATGGCCGAGCACTCGATACCGGAAACCCGTGAACCGTTTGCTCCGCGAGATTAAATTAACGAATTATTTTCGCGACAGGGAACGACGAGGAGGAGCGGGCGCGCGCGAGCGAAAAAACGCGATGCTCCTAATCCACTTTTACAACGTTGATACAGTCGCGCCGGGAAGGTAAAAAGAGAGGAAAAAGAGGCGGAGAACGTATCGGTGCTTCGGTATATCGATCGACCCAGGGTCTAACTGCAACTCAATTGCAATTCTAATAGCGAGCTCTACATGCACCGCGCGGAACTCGTTTCGAACAACGAGCGCTGACCGCGCGAACGTACGAGCAAACGAGCGACAAGTCCGGCAAACAAGGAACGGATACGACTAGTTAATTGTTAATAACATAAAGATCCACGCGACCGTTGGGACCCGGTGAAAAAAACGCCGTTCGAACGTCGCGCCAGACACCTCTGCCTTTATCCGTGCTCCCGAGGCAGCTGAAAAACCGAGAGAAACGCCAAGTAAAATAGCGTAATAACGACTGCGTTTGAGAAAAGTCGCCGTTAAAGCAAGATTATCCTAGCTCAGACTCAAAGGGAACGGTAAATTTTTTCGCCGCCATGACAGAGGTTCGATTAAACCCGACGTTGAGCCGCGTCTCGTTAATTCGACTCCACTCTTCTATCCCCGATGAGCAGAGAACGCGCGACGAATTTAGGAAAATTCCCGTCGACCGATGTAAAAACAGAGCTGTTCGAGCATCACTCCACGCGGCTTGCAATTGATTACATTACACAGCCACGGTCGACTTGTTGAGCTTCATTAAATCCAGGATTTCATTAAGCTCGCAGCAAATCAGGCTAACATTCATCCCATCCACTTTGCCCGCACTTGTGGCTCATTCTTCGCTCATTCGAAAACAAAGCGATAGGGTGTCGAGTTAAAAGCTCGAAAGATTCGACTGATCCGTTTTGCAATGGCAATTAAGAAATACTAGTCCGGGGTTGTTAAAGGGGAGAGGCGAGGGGTGAAACGGGGGTGGAGAAAAGGTGCGACCGGTTCTGATCGAAGTAAAATGGAAAATCGATGATTCCTCAGAGCCCCAAAACGCCATCTGCGGGAACGGGGTGGTGGAAGATGGCGAAGAGTGTGATTGCGGATGGGAGGAGGACTGCAACGACCCTTGTTGCCACCCTCAACGACTCCATCATGCTCATCACGAGGTACCTTGTCGTCTTGCCGATGGTGCAGTGTGCAGTCCCAGTCAGGTAAGTGCCACTTTTCCTTCGCTCGCCGAATGTCCAGATACCCTCGTTCCCCTGGTCCCCCCCCCCCTCCCGCTCGAAACGTGATTAAGTCTAACGTCCCTCTCGCGACTCCATTTCCTCCCTTCGAGCTTACGTTCTCGCCCTTGCGATCATCTCGTGGAAATTTCGGCAACGACGGTGTCGATCTGCGTGACGATATCGGATCGTGATCGTGTCCAGAAATATCGGTGGAAAGTTTCTCGTCTCGGGGGGGGGAGGCGTGTTTTTACTGGAAAATAGACAGAATTGATTCGAAACAAGCGACAGCGGAGTTGAAGGAGTTTACAAAGTGGGGAGCAAACTGAAAGTTAAAATTGCATTTTTCAAGAGAAAGATGTCAAATTCTTGCTTACATTTGCGTTCAAATATTAAAGCAACGGTAACGGCGGAGGCAGCGAGTTTTCTAAGGTCCCCGAGGAAAGATATTTTCGCGGACGTTGCAAATACGACTTTTTAGCAGCGAGTTTCTTTGAAATTTCGACACAGACTTATTTTCATTTTCTACGAAAGCTAGACTCTGAATATGTTATGAATCCCTATTGAATGTCGCGAAAGCCTAATGTCCTAGGTAACGGAACGCGAGCGTGCAACGTAGACCTGTCTGTGAAACGTGGACCAAAACTACCCTTCGAGGAGCCGTTCGTCATTGATTCACTTTCGTTTACGTTATTTCCAAAAAAAAAAAGAAAGCGAAAAACAAACAAAAATTAAAATAAAAAATGGAGAAATCTTTTCGAGGACTTTTCCAACGATGAAGAAATGGAGAAGAAAAAAGAGAGAAACTCGATCGCCAGGTTCTCGAGTACTTCTTGCTCGGCTCTTAATTATCGCCGACGAAAAGCACCATTTTTCTCCGCGGCATCCCTATCGTTTCTCCCCTGTTTCCGACGTAAACCCGTTATGCATCATCTCGAAATAAAGTCCGGACCAAACTCGTCCGTTCTCAATCCCCTTACGTGTAACGTCGCTAATTAATAACGGGGCAGGCCGGGCTGCAGACTATGCTACGAACGTATCGATGTATATTAATGATACACTAAAGCCGTAATTAAACGCGAAACGTGCCGTTACACGCGTCTCGTCCCCGCGCGCGTGAGCCTCCAACTCCACGTTAATCCAACCAATGCCGATCGTTTGTTCCATCGAACCGAGCAACTTGGATGCAATGCCGGCATGCGTTGGGTGATTAAACGGTGAGCCGGCGATAATGAGTACAGGAAATCTGCCGCATTCGAAATCGAGACGGTCATAATTTATGCAACCATGAAGTTCGATGCTCCTTCGTTGGGCTTCGCACGGTCGCGAGCAACGGGAAATCGAACGGGAAATTTCAAGTGAAACTCGAGGCTGGATACTGTTCCTCTGCCGTTCATTTCGCCGCGATACGCGAGCGTATTTTGAGCTACCGATAGTTACGGAAAAATTAGCAATATCAGCGTCCTGGTTAGACGAAGCACCGTCGTGTGCGGGAAGAAGAAACGGAGACGAAAATGTTGGTACGTGGCGAAGTTTAAGCACTCTTGAAATTCGACGAGCACGCTATTTATTTTACAAACGCACAGATCCGATGTGATGCAAAAAGACGACGACGACGACTCGAGAACAAGCGAGGATTCAGAAGACAGGCGGTTCCCTACGCCTAACAAACCCCCACTCCTTTCAGGATATATTTAGCTCTCTTAGGTGACAATAGACTTTCCAGTCGATTGTTCCAGTTAATTCTCAACAGAAAATGACGAAAAATTGTGCCGAAAATTTCCGTGTTCTAGATAATAAGGATTAGAAAGACGGGAAATGGAGATCTCGCTGGCAAGATAATCACTGGGCTTGTTTATCAGCGGGAAGCCAGCTGCAAAATGAATCTCACTCTTCCCCGATATTTGTGGATAATTAATTATGTAATAATATATCATTAATTCGATAATAATCATTGCGTCCATAACGGATATTTTTGCGAGAGAGAAACGCAGTGATATAGATTAAATATAGGTTATCAAAAATCATACGATAGCCGCGCTAATGACGGAAGAGGATAAAGTTAGGGACGAAGAGGAGCAGGAAAATAACATGGAAAAGTTCCTGCGCGATGTTAAAAAATAACGGAGGCGTAGGCAAGAAATTCGAAGATTAGAAGGGACGAAAAAAGATATTAGTCGATAAAAGCGACGCGATAATGGCTATGAATGCAAGACCATTTGCCAGCAGCGCGGCGAAAACGAGCACTTTTCTCGATGACGGCAGAGATCGTGTTGGAAACTGGCAATCTCGCGTATGTACGATTCTTCGTGCTCGAAGAAACTTCACTGGTCACGGACGGTCATGGGAGGAGGAGGAAGGTAGAGGGAATTAGTTTCCCGGTATATGTGCTCAGACTCGTGTTCTCAGTTTCTGGATATGCTCCGGCGTTATTGTCGACGAGGTGCAAAACACATAGAAGATGAGTTTAATTTTCAATGTTAGCCGATACCGGTGGCCCCCGCGACTCTCGTCGTCATCGACGTCGACGATTGCGTCGTCGTAGGCAGCGCGGCGCGTTCTCGCTGCTCGTAGTGTCCCGGAAAATGGGACTAATTAATCAAACCCCGGCATCGAGGCGGTTGCTACCGGCTAGGAAGCCTCGGCAAAGCACGAATGGGCAGAGAAACTCCCCGGCGAGGTAAAAACAATTAATCTCGTTATATTGTACGAGAGAGGAACCGTCTGATTTCAGAGTCAGATCGTTCCTTCGAATTTCATTCGGGCGAACATCGTTCCCGTTCCCCTTATTCTTCGCTCCACGGCGTCTTTCTTCCCCTTTCGTGCGTACTAATTAATGCGCGAACTTGGAAAATCCGAAACGCCGGGAAACGAGGTTTTCAATCGCGAAAAAGGAATTACCACGGTATTGTCCGATCGACGTGGCAATTGCTACGTTTTTTCCTGCTCTCTCGCGTCCCGTTGCTAATTATGCGAACAGCATCCGTGAATAGACTGTAATTTTAGAATACTTCGTTCCGACGTATTCAGCCCCCCGCCTGTTTCACGAGTCCGCCATTATGTCGTGAGAATCGACCTGAACGAAATCGTCGGACGATTCTCCGGGGGAACAATCGGGCGCAATTACTCACGGATTTTTACAACTTATCGGCAGAGGAGATAAGGAAACCACCGTCTGGAGAACTCGCAAGCGGCTCCGCGCGCGATCGTCAGTTTTTATCGGCTTGCCATCAGGAACCGTGGTTCCTGGCAGCTGCCGTCGCGACTGATAAACGCAAGAAACGGAGGACGAAGGCGAGAAAGACGGGGAAGAAAACGCGTCGGGGTAGCTCGCGGAAGTGTAGGGTAGGCGGGGCTGGTGAAAAGGGTGGAAGCGTGAACGGGGAAAAAATAGCGGAACGGTGCTCGCACCGGTCGCGGAAGTCGATGCATTAGATGCATCGCGGGAGAAAAGTGCCGGATGCAAAACACGTAGATTCGCGAGGCGCGGAGACGTAGACGAATGGAGGACGTCTTGCGCCGTTTCTCGGCCAGGTTGAAAGGCGAGGACAATAAACAAGAGGCGCGGAGGGCGAAGGGATGCAGCGGGGAGGAAGAACCGTGCAAACTGTGGACATTAAGCGGGAGAGGAGGACGGGGGAGGGTGGAATAAGAATGGCGAGGAAAAAATTGAGAAAGATAACGAAGGAGGTGCAGGGTCGAGACTGATGAGAGAAAGAGTGGGTCGGGGGTGAGAAAAACCGGGGGAAACGAGCTGCTGGCGAGGAAAGAAAACAGGGGACGGAAGAGGAAGAAAGATAAATAGTGGAAGCAAAGGAAAACAAGCTAGGGTACTAGAAAGATAAAGCGGGAGGGGCATGTTTGCGGGGATGGAAACACGTAGCTCGTAAAATGGGAAGGGTGAATTATTTTCCAACGAGATTCTAAAGCTTAAGGTTATTAATAGGCGGATCAAAATGATCGGTGCGTTTTCGCCTGACTCGGACCTTTCTTTTAATATCCGACTGTATCGTCGGCAGAGAATGTCTTCGTCGTCGATCGACGATACCTTCTGACCCCCCCGGAACACGGCGAAAAAGCGCGACAAAAGTTGGAAAAGCGTTTGCCTCGCTTCGCCGTCGCGACGCGTACAGGATCCGGCTCGTACTCTCGCGAGATAATACGGAATACCGGGGACGGAAAGACGCAAAACAGAGGGACCGTCAAGGGGTGAATATACCAGCGACATTCTCCAGGGTGTCGCGTTCTTTCCATGACGGCATTAAGGATAAGAGATTGCGATCCCGCGAGATGTTCCGGAGGAAAATGAACCACGTATAGGTGTCACGATTGAAACGCAAATATAAGCGCTGCTATGCACGCGTCTACGTGTCTCTGTGCGCAGCCCCGTGCCTTGAAAATAGAACGCGAGGGATTCGTTTTATCGAAGGAAGTCACATTACCACTCGTGCTCGAAGGATCGAATCTCTCGAGATAACTAGATCGTTTCTCAACCTTCAACGCTCGCGTCGTATATTCATTAAAGTGCTCTCGAGAATAACGACCACGCTGTCCTCTCCCTACGGTGCTATGGCGAGGATAATTTGCATGCATCTGTACATCGAATAAATCCGCAGAAAATGCCCTCTCTTCGTGTCTTACTCGATAGCTTCCGCTGTAACGCGTCGAAACAACGTTTCGAGAATATCGCGCGAAAGTAGAGGGGGAAAAAAAGAAAACGAGAGGAACTTATTTGCGTCTGGAGTTTCAAAGGAAACGGTGTGGTCCCCGGTGGGAAGGAGAGAGAAAATATTCTTTCCGGCTCCGTCGAGCCGGATGAATTCCATCCGGGATCATTCGAGTAATTCCTCGTTTCGTTAGCCGCGACATTTCGTTACACACGCAGCGACAATTATTCCTGGGCCGTGTTTCGCGATTTCGCGCCATTGTCGCGCCACTCAGCCTCCTTCCAGCGCGGAATTCTTCCCATCGAGGTATTGAAATTCGATAAATTGATTCGTTTCAACCCCCGTTGTTGCGTTCCGACTCGCGAGGATCGAGATTCGACGCGAACCCGAGGCTCGAGAGCCAAGAGGGCTGCTCGCTCTTCTTTATCGCGCGTTCGTCCCATTACCGGTAGATTCGGACCTCGCGTCGACGATAAACGCCCCCGTTTCCACGGCAAGTTCATTGGCCAGGAATTAAGGGAAACGATAGGAATATCAACGTCGCGATACGAACGAGAGGGACGATAAATCGACGAGGACCGAGAACCGAGTTTTAATCTTCCCTGGAAGGTATCTCGCGTTGCTTAACCGCTAACCTGAACGCGAACGGCCGCGAAATCTCGCTCGAGTTACGATACGGCGGATAAGAGTTATCACCGCGAATTAACAGGCTGTACGTAGGATTATACACGTAAACATAGGCCGAAATAAAGGGGTCGATGAAGCGATCGCCGAGCAGATTTCTCGAGCAATTTAAATTTCCAGGCAGACTCTCGATCTTGGGAAAATTGTAACCCTCGGGGAGGCCGGCAGCCCAACGATACGTCTTATCGTTCGTAATTAAGAATGGCCAAGATAGACGCGGGCCTAAATAAAGGGCGAGACTCTTGACGTCCGTCCCACCCCTCGGCCGAGGCATTAAAGCAGCCCTAAATCTTCTTGGGAATTGCAGCTTCGCAGCCGTTTAGAGATAAGTCTTATCCTTCTCTGATTGAAAACGTTAATCGCCAACTTGGAATGAAGCGTGCTTTCTCTTGGGGCCGGATATAAAGGCGTGATTAAACGCCGTCGACTCTTAAGGGAAACTGAAAATCTTTTCGAATCCGTAATTGGCGGATCCGATTCGATCCCCGGATCTCGCCGAGATTCCTGCCCGCAACGCGAGACTCTTTTCGCTACCCCCGTCGATACGGTAAATCACGTCGCGGGAAATCGGCAGAGCGAATTCGGCGAGCGTCTTAAAAGAGTAGAGCGCAGGACCGGATTTCCGGCTCGCCGGTAATATTCTCATAGACCGAATGCACTTTCCCATCGGGTTATTTATTTTCTGATATATGCACAGACCGAGAATACATCCACTTGCATCAGCATCGAATTTCTTCCGCTGCTTTCCGTGCCAATTCGTTGAACCGGAAAACGTATCAGACCGGGGAACCTTATTTTCCAAGCATCGACTGCCGGTCCCACGGGTATCCTTCTATCTGATATTCAAACGGTGGATCGTTCTTATCTGCACGTTAAGCGAAAATCATTCGATTCGCTTAAACGTTTCCCACCCCCTCGCAACCCCCGCCGTTCAGAGCTTCCTGCGTTCGCCGATTTAATTAAACCGAAAATTGTCTGTCTTCCGGGGCGACCGGTTCCTCGATACAAGCAGCCGAGTTTCCCGCGAGTCGCGCTCCTATTACCGATCCGATCGATCCATTTCCTACGGATTTCGCCGACTCTCGCGGCGAGACGGGATCTCGAAAGGAGCTGCAGCGAAACCCGGCTATCCGTCTCAAACCGAATAGCAATTTTTTAAAAACGCGTCGGTACTTAAATTCTCGTCGCGTGCGCGCCGATGCTCCGAGCGTAATTGCGAGGCGGATACAGCAATTTCCCAGATGGAGGGCTCGGATCCGGCAAACTTGCTCGCGAGAATCGCGAACCTTCGCGCGGACAACGTCTTTACACGGTTTAATCGCCAAATGCTCTCGCGACACCTCGAAGCCGGTGTACCGAAGCTGCAAAACCTCGTCGACGATTCAGCGAGACCTCGAGCGCGGCCAGGCACGCTCTAACCTTTATCGTTTCGTATAAAATCGTATCCGATCGAGTTTTCGAAACGTCGGGAACTCGCTCGTTCTCCCGAGCATTTATCGTTCGCGATGGACTCGCGGAGAGAGAGAGAGGGGGAGACACAAAGGAAACGAACGAGTGAAGTTTTTCGAGCGTGAAATCATGGCTTCGCGAGCTGTTCGTGCCCTCGTCTTCATCTCGCACGGTTCTTCCGCGTGTTCGCGCGTATCGCCTCGATCGAGCACCGAAAGTTCTCCACGCTGCTTGTCGAATTCCATAAATATTCATTATCGCGACGCACAGTGCACGTGTTCCGGCAGAAGCGAAGTGGATTTTCCATCGGTCGGCAAAGAATCACCGCGCGCGAATTCGAATAAGGGGGCGCCTTTGTCGCGCGACGCTTAAACGGGTGGAACAAATGCCCCGTGGAAATGCAAGGAAACCAAGGTGCAATATCGTTCCGCGCTCTCGCAGCTTTGTAACCAGCCTCCGAGCATGCTCGATGCACGCATTAATTACTAATTATTCTCCCCCCGATTACGGTTTATTTGTTCGAATCGCTACACGCACGCCACGCCACTGACTAATGTAATAGTTATAAGCTTGATCGAGCATTCGAACGTACGAAACGGTAGATTTATGGGTGTGTTGCGAAGATATACTAAGCTATTAATACGAACGTTGTTGCATTACGATCACGATTCGCGATTCGGTGACGCTGCGAGCGTGCGTAAACATAGAGGCAGCAAGAATTTCCAAGTACGGCGAAACAGCATTGCCGACTATGCGATATCGGGGTCCTTTGCACGCGAAAAATGACAATTCGATCACAGAGGCCGCGATAATCGATACGATGCTTGATTACTGCAAAGCCCCGATCGGGGGCTTCGCGCATCGATACCGACAACGCGTTCGAATACCAATGTATGTTATTTTTTCCCGCGAATTTTCATCACTATCGTACCAACGGCGTTGTAAACACGGTACAAACAGGACGATTAAAAAAATTGAAAAAAAGAGCTCCCGATTTGAAATATAAAAAAAAAAATATCCACGTATGTATATATAAAACAACGAATGCCAGTGACTCGACGAATGAATCAAAAATGGAAACCCCTGGAAATTGCATGGTCGAAATGAATAGCAAATACGGGATGATGTTGGTGAAAGGGCCGATTGAAAAAGCAAATTGCAACGAAATATGGAAAAATACGTTCATATAGGAAAAGAAGGACGCATGGGTATATAAAGCACGCGGGAATAAGGCGAGAGAGAAAGACAGTCTTAATATCGCGTTGCACCGAAATCTCTGGCTCGCCCAACAATGTTGCCCATTGTTCTGTGCAGAAAATCGCTGGAAAAATCGAGATATTGTTCCTGGTCTCGCACAATACCCGCGGAGTGGAACGCGTTCCAGCGAGCCGCGCATTATCATCGACACGCGCGGCGAAATAAATTAGCGAGCCACAAAGCGGCAGCGGCCGATAACCTGCGGAGTCGCTGAATCGCCGCGAACCCGTTTTAAAAACAACGTCAAGCCGTACGTTGCAGCAAACGGTGAATCATGAATTTTCGATCGGACAAAAGCAACGAACGCGACGAACGAGGCAATTATAAAATCTCGATCTGTCGGTAGCCAGGCGCGAGACGCGGCCATTTTCTCGACCATCATCCACTCGCGCCCGATTTCACGGTCCCTTCGTCGCGTCCCAGAGAGACGCGCGAGGAATTCCGAGGTTTTCCGGGTTTCTTTGCATGCACCGTACGTACGTATACGGAAAGGATCGAACACGCTAATGCATACTCCTCGGATGCAACGTACCCGTCGTTCGTACGTACGCTCGTGCCAAAGGGAGAACAGAGACGCTTTCGAGCTGCTTTGCAGCTGCTTTCGAGCTACGAAACTTAACGTGGACAATACCGATATAGACCTTGGAAGCTTCAGACGATGAAAAGCGTCCTCCTTTCAAAGCGATACACACGTCCGCGTCGCGCAAACGACTCAGTCATATTTTCAACCGACCTAAAAATCGAGCGTGCACGTTTCGACCGGACACGGTATACGCGCGTATAAGAGCGTATTCTACCTTCGCCCTTTCCATCTTCCTCCGCGGACAGTGCGTTGTTCATCTCTGGCTGTTGCAGGGCCCCTGCTGCACATCCGGCTGTACTGTGCGCAACGGCGATAAGTGCAGGGACGACAACGGTTGCAGGGACGCGAGCTTTTGCGACGGCCGTGGTCCCCAGTGCCCGCCATCCATCAACAAGCCCAACAAGACCATATGCAACGAGGAATTCGTCTGCTACATGGGGGTGAGTGTACACGTTTCCGTCTCCTCCCGTCTACCGCGCCATTCCTTTCCACGTCCACCGAATTTCCGTCTCTTCGACCCACCTTTACAACAACGGAGAACAACCCTCGGTGATGTACGAACCGAAGTTCCGCGGGACCGGTCAATCCGTTTTCCTGTCACATTCCCCGAGACAAACAGAGGGCGACCATGCTGGCCCGCGACTCGCGACGCGCGCCACTTCGACATCGACTCGGTGACCTCGCGATCCCGGCAAGACTGCCAGGCTATGTGCCGCGTCTATCGCGGAACCACGATCGCGTTTCGCTTAAATTATGCCCGCGATGAAAATGAGAGAGTCGTGGAGGACGATGGGGGTCGAAATTACGAGGAAATTTACGATTTCCCGCCGCGAAACTGGCTGCCTAGTTATTTATTCATTGGAGCCTGCTTGCCGTTTCCTCGATCGTAACGGCAAGCCCGAACACGCGGTACACTTCGCGTATATCAGAGTTATACGACGCCGAGGAAGCCGCGTAAAGGAGAAGGAACGCTCCGTGTGACCCACCACAGGCATCGGCGAGAAAATATTCGAACGCTCTCCCGATGCTTTCTCCTTTGACGAGATTCGCGTGGAAATTTCCATTAGTCGACGACTTTGGGGACACGGGGGAATCCGCGGAGGAGAACCGAAACGATCGTAGCTTCTACTCGCGTCTGGGGAGCTTACGATCGCGGTCCCTTTTTCCGCGTATCCACCAGAGAGCTATCTCGAAACGTACGCGTGGCATTTTCCTACGCGCCGCTTCCTCCTTTTCCACGCGCTCCAGTCTCGAGGGTAGACTCGGGGCGAAAGCTGACGCGCACACGCACGGCCGGAATGAAATACCTTTTGGCTCCATCGGTTCTCGACATCTTCGTCCGTCGAGAAATCTCGTGACATCCCCTTCGATCGGACGAAAACGTTCGCAGCCGCGTGGAGAATACGGATTAACCCGAGAACGAAATTTCTCTCCCGTTCCCGGACCGAATTAATCCCACGCGGGAGGAGCATCGATGGGATCGAGGCAGGTCTCGAAATTACCCCGCGATTCGGCTCTCCGCGTCTTTTCGAGCGAGTGGCCGCGGCGTTAACGATGCAAGGCTATTTCCTCCTAGCCGCGGCTTCGGGCAGAAACATTCGATTACAACCGGCCAAGCGGAAAACGCGTTTCGGCCGCACACGTGCAACGGTTCGACAGTACGCATCGGCAGCTACGAATCGATACTCCCGAAATACTGGCTTTCTAATCTGCAAGTACAATAACGAGCGAGAGAGGCCGAGACGGGGCGAGTCAGCTGCTGCTAGCAATTTGCCTGGCCGTTTGCGCGCCTAGCCATAGGCAACCGCCGCGTCGCTTCTTATCACGGGCCAACGCGATCGCTCCAAAAAGACGCCCGGAAACTTCGCCCCCCTCTGCCGACGCCACCAAGGTAACTCGTCGAAAGATCCCACGATAGAGTCGCCCCCTTTTTGCGTCACCCCGTGGTACTCGCGTCGCAAATTAATCGGTCTACTTGGTACACGCGACGAGTGTACCGCTCCGTTGACACGCGTCGGGGCTACAGCGCGGAACCGCGATCACGGCGACGAGAATTAGCTTCGACTCGGTTATTGGCGTCGCAAGTCGTCTTGAACGAGGCAAACAACGAACAGGCAAGACGCCGCGACGCGACGCGCGATCCGTAAGAGAATAACGTTCGAGTCGCGGGCTTATCTATCTTCGGTGGCCCTGCTGGAAATTACCTCGTATTTAGGGGTTTATGCGCGTAGACTGGCACTTTATCGGGCTCTTGCATTGCTTGCAGGAATGACGATCCTCCGACCAAAAGCTGCGAACTCTGTTGTAAATTGCCAGGAGAGGATCAACCATGCCTGTGAGAGACGATCGTTGTACAATACGTGGTTTCACGCGAATGTTCGCGTCACTCGTTTCACTCTGCTTTCCGGGAAACTCCGCTTTCCCTGAACAGCCGCCTTCGCTGTGTCTCGCGAATTGCGGATCAGACCTCGCGATAGCAGACTCGCGTTTGATCGATCGGTGGGGCCTTCGCGTCATCGACTAGCGCCTCTTCGGCCTTTGACCGCGAACATTCGCCAGGGATCCACCTCCGTTTCGCCTCTGATCGCTCCTCTAACGAGCGAAGAATCGAGCTTTATCCGTTTCTTCCGGTACGCGCGATCAGAGGGTGCTTCGGAGGACTCGCAGACGGATCGAGTAAACTAGACGTCACACGGGGTACGCGTCTCTTTGCAGATCATCGTTCGCGTGGAATTCAGCGCCTTACGATATACCTGACATGCTGTCGAAGCCAGGCACGCCGTGCAACGATTACAATGGCTATTGCGACGTCTTCCAAAGATGTCGAGAGGTAATACACCCGAGCTCCTTTACCTAACCCTTCGTTTCTCCGCGAGCAGAGACTCCCGTCGCTCGAGCGAGACTGAGAGTGCTCGATGTCTTTATCCCTACCGATCCAATCGCGACTTCGTTCGCTGAGAAAATGCTAACGATGCTTCCAGGTGGATCCCAGCGGACCGCTGGCCACTCTGAGGAGACTCCTTCTGTCGGACGCCAGTCTAGCGAGCTTCCAACGCTGGGTGGTGAATCGGTGGTACATCGTCGCTGCGATCGTGTTCGTTCTACTGCTGATCGTGGTAAGTTTCGACTCTCGAAATTCCTTTGATCGTCTACCACTGGTCCCGATGCTTCGATCGTTTCAACCGATTGACCAGCAGGTGAAACGCTTCCGGCGAATTAAAAATAGCTCTGGCGTGCGTAATGCAGCTGCATTAATACCGCTGCAAAAATACCATCGCCGTATCGAATATCCACGTAAACGCAATTATTTGTCTTGTCAATTAAAATTCGTACAAACGCGCGGGGGGAGAAACGACCGGGGAAAAAAAGCACTCGCGTAACAGTTGCGCGTTCTCGTTCCCGCGGAAAATATGTTGCGAACATCACGTGGGGAAATACGATTCAATTACACCGATGTTTTTGTTTCGTAAGCCCGTAAAAGCGCAGGAATATTTTTGCAGCATTTAATACGATGGAAAAATGAGTCGGTTCGTTTAATTTCCAACCTGCTGCGGCCGTTTATTATTAGAAAAATATATGGTAAATGTCGAAATCCAGAGAAAATGATAAATTACGGGCATGCGCGATCGCGAAATTCAATTCGCCGTTCACCATTTTCCATTTCGCATTCCTCGCCGATCCATTCGCAAATTCCGACTTTACGCGAAAACGCGCGAAACGAAGTTTCGAACAGCAGCCGAAGAAACACGGCAGAAACGTGCAATGAAACTTCGATTCTCGCGATCGTATCACTGAATCGCGATCAATCGTTTACTGGTTACGTCAAACAACTGGTACCTCGACTTTTCCGGCATTTGTCCCGATTAATTTAATATTCTCTCTCGTTTAAACGCAGCGACAAAAAGAAATAGAAATCAGTTTTACAAGTCTGTTCTAAGAGAGTAAAAGGCTGTCACAATTACCATTCTGTTGCATAATTGCCATTCTATTACGTTAATCCGTTATTTTATTAATAAAGCTTATTTTGTCCTATCAAACGTTGCGATATTATTTTAGTCCATCCCTCCAAAACACGATCCTAAATGCATGCCAGAAAACACAATGCAATCGTGCATTACCGATCAGAGATAAATCTTCTTTTAGCTGCTACTCCCGACAGTGGTTTAAGAGAACTTCAGATTCTTTCCGGGACATCAAACAGACTTTACTGATACTAAATTGATAGTAAATGGTAATGAACGAACTGTATTGAACTCCAAAGTTAATCAACAGTCTTTCCCATTTTACTGCTCGGCGTTAAACAGCTACAGCTATAAACGGCCAAAGGGTCCTAAATGTCAACGACTTCGATAGCAACGCTTCGACAGCCGAGACTGTCTATTAATACGATAATTGACGAGCATGCTATATCGACCCAGCCAATTACACATACACAGTCGAACCTCGAAGACTCGAATCTCGAGGGAAAAACTGATGCCTTCGAGCTATAGAGATAGCAACGATAGAAGTTTGACTTACAAAGGTACACACTCAGTCTCATAGAGCTTCGGCTATTCCAACTTTGGGTCACACAGATAAGAGAATGCACCTGGATCCCTATCCGGTGAATAACGCTGTCCGACGCGAACCTTAATCTGTAATATCCATCGAGTAATTCTTGTCGAGTTTACTTTCCTCGACGCGAATCCGTAATCGAAATTGCGAAAATTTTTGATATGGTAATGTAGGATACCAAAAGAAATCGCGAATCGGCTATTGCCAAGAAAAACAAATTGTAAACCGATCGATATCTTCTACAAGCAAATCGAAAATTTATTCTATATAGCCAAATTAAGTTGCGTGACTCCACTAGGCGGAGGTGAAGCGTAGCTCAAGGAAAGCATAAAAACCGTGATTCTTGACAAGCAAAACAGAGTCGTTAGAAATTGGTTGTGACCAGCACAAGCGTGAGTCGCTTGGTGTTGGAAAAAGAATTTTAAAAGAATGCGTCCTTGTGCGTTTTCATTTCGTTATCTTGGTGTTCTTTTCCTAAGTTAAATCAGTTTACGAGTTTTGAGTTTGTGTTATCGTGTTCTTGCTCTTTCGTGAATTTTCGGTGTCTCAAGACCAGTTCCGCCATCCTACAATAAAGTATTACGTAAAAAGCGAGTATGACAGAGGGTTCATTTTTGTCTTGGGAGTTAGATGGTAGTATCCAGAGTTTAATAATGTCCATAATTGTAATTATTTTTGTTTGTGAATAATTTTAACTCGTCATCAAAGTTTGAAAATGAGCCGTCGAAAGTACTTTCTGCGCAATGTCTTTGCGTTTTTACAAAAATTTCTTTATTCGATAAGAATTTTCTGTACTGTATCGTATTCTATACGCGTGGCTGAAGAAGAAACCATGGAACAAAGTCGTCGAAACTGTTCGCATTTCCATAAAATAGAGAAAACATTCGTCCGTATCGTGTACACGGCATTTTACCGCCACGTAGCCATTGCTAGCTTTGCTAGCTTCAACGGTGTTGCAGATACACGGAATCTAGTGTATTTCCTAGAATCCTAGTGCATTTTCAAGAATTTTGTCGACAATACTTTTGCAGCATCCACCATAAAATTATCTGCCAATTTTGCGATTTTGTATTAGGATAACATAACTTAATAGGGGGCTTGTAATATGTAATTTGTAAATTAATTCCGTAAGAGACAGTAATTAATGAGAAACCAATAGTATCGTCGACATCAGTTCGAACACTCCAGGGAATAATTACGCGTAATTAATTAATTAGGAGGAAATTAATATCCAAAATTATATTAGAAAGTTCGATAAAGGACGTGCTATTACGATGCAATTCTAAAGGTTCATAAATTAGTCGCAGTAATTGAGTAATTTGATAATCTAAAAATATGAATTCAAATTACTTCGATCAACGCCATCTATGATTTTTGAGCGCAAGCTTGTGTACAGTTTCCAGTATAAAATTCTAGAAATGTCAGTCAGCGCCATCTGTAATTTTTAACTGAAAGCTTGAGTTATAATTCCTAATATAAAATTCTAGAAATATCAGGCAACGCCATCTATGATTTTGGACTATACATAAGTTTCGAGTCCAAAACCATAGATGGCGATGACTGACATTTCTACAAATTTATATTAGGAACACAACATAAAAGGAGGTTGCTTACCGACCGATTTCCAGAAATGACGTGATTTCCAAGAATTCCATGGACAATATTTTCGCAGCCTAGCAATAATATTTTAGACCGATTTTACGATTTTGTATCAGGATAACATAACATGAATGGAGGTCGCTCGCCGGTCGATTCCGAGAAATGTCATTTATATGAATTATATACAGACAAATTTCGAATCACGGGAAATTTGTTTGTTCACAGTTCGATTACGCCGATCAGCGAATAGCAATTGCAGACTTTGGAAATTCGTATCGGGTCTATCCCTTGACTTTTTTAAACGTTTTATACATCAAAAAATTCGTCGAAAAGAGCTCTAAAAAATAGGATAAAGCAATCCGAATTTTTTAATCGGTCCGATTTTTGCCGATTTTTCCGATTGCTCGATGGATACATCGGCCGTCTGATTTTGATAAAATTTTGGAATGCAGATTTTTTTATCTTTTTTAGTTCTTCATTCATCAGGTAACTTGTGTGCAAAAAATCTAAAAAATCGGATCACGGGAACTCTGTTTTTTGGCAATCCGATTGCGCCGATCTGCGAATAACTATTGCAGACTTTGGAAATTCGTATCGGGTCTATCCCTTGACTTTTTCAAACGTTTTATACATTAAAGAACACGCCGAAAAGAGCTCTAAAAAATAGGCCAACGAAATCCGCATTTTCTAAGCGGTCCGATTTTTGCCGATTTTTCCGATTGCGCGATGGATACATCGGCCGTCTGATTTTGATAAAAGTTTGGAATGCGGATTTTTTTATCTTTCTTAGTTCTTCATTCATCAGGTAACTTGTGTGCAAAAAATCTAAAAAATCGGATCACGGAACGGTGTTTTTTAGCAATCCGATTGCGCCGATCTGCGAATAGCAAATGCAGACTTTGGAAATTCGTATCGGGTCTATCCCTTGACTTTTTTAAACGTTTTATACATCAAAAAATTCGTCGAAAAGAGCTCTAAAGAATAAGCTAAAAAAATCCGGATATTCTTATCGGTCCGATTTTTGCCGACTCCTCAACCGTAAAATTTTGAGCCAATTTCAGGACTTTGTATCAGGAAAACATAACATGACAGGAGGTCGTTCGTTGACTAATTCCAAGAAATGACGTCATTTCCAAGAATTGTGCGGACAATACTTTTGCGGCTTAACCGAAAAATTTTAGGCCGATTTCGCGACTTTGTATCAGGATAATATAACATGAAACGAGGTCGCGCGACATTCGATTCCAAGAAATAACGTCATTTCCAAGAATTGAGCGCACAATACTTTGGCGGCCTAACCGAAAAGTTTTAGACTAATTTCGCGACTTTGTATCAGGATAACATAACATGAAAGGAGGTCGCTCGTCTACTAATTCCAAGAAATGACGTCATTTCCAAGAATTCTCGGACAATACTTTTGCAGCCGTGCCGTAAAATTTTCGCCCAATTTTACAACTTTGTATCAGGATAACATAACATGAAAGGAGGTCGCTCGTCCGGACAGTTCCAGGAAACGACGTCATTTCCAAGAATTCCCGGGACAATTCTTTTCCTGCTTTGCAGTAGATTTTTATTATTTTACTTACCTTATACTTACCTTACTTACCGTCCTTACGTACCTTCTCTTACTTGCGTTCCTTTCTTTACTTACAAGGAGAGTGCAAGTTTTTCGGGTCACCGATTTAGTTGCAACCTTGCAGGAGTGTAGATATCGTCATGCAGTTTAAGCAAATATATCATTATAGCGGCAGCTACTCAGTAACTTTCGAGATATTTACGATTAAAGTTTTATTACTCGGTGAATTACAGATTTATTTTCAATAGTTTTCAATTGGAGTTGTAGACTAATGGTGATAGTCGAGAATTTCTATACTCGATGACTCGGATTCGATTACGGTTCATAAGTTAGTATTTTTTTTTCGATGTATTTTTTATTTTGTATTCCTTTTTCGCCTATGAAAAC